GGGGGGCGGGAAGAGAGGAAGGAGAAGGAGGAGGAGGAAGGAGGAGAAGGAGGGAGGAGGGGGTGCTCTAAGGAGTCCTCCCTCCCACACCCACAGCGCTAGAGAACTGAGGATGGGGTGTGCAAAAGAACACAGACAGTATCAGCTCTTCCCAGGAGTGAAGCCTGCTTTGCAGGTGCTGTGACGCTTACCCTCCACACACCGTGGCTCAGGGGATCGTCTCAATCTTTGCTTATAAACTGTGGAATCAGCTGTTGGAGGTGCCTTCGCACCTTCTCAGGGCTCCTTCCGCATGTCTGTCGCCATGTCATACCTGGTGTGACACAAGAGCTTGTGCCCCCAATCCTGCCCTGAGCTCTAGCTGCCCCTGCATCACTGTTTGACATCTGGTGTCATGGAGTGGCTGGGCCGGGCTGGCTTGCCGTCTTCCTAAAGAGCCCTGCGGACCCTGTGACGTGGAAGCCAGGGCTCCTGCCTGCCAGCCTGGCTGTGGGCTCAGGATATTCTGCCGTCTGTTCTGCTGGGGGAATGACACTGGGTCAGGCGTCACCAGTGAGCCTTCTCTGTCTCCTTTGAACTTTCCACCAGCCCACGTGGATGGCCCTGGAGGCTTAGAACTAAGCTCCTTGCAGATGTTTCCATCTGTTGTCTTGTAGCCACTCATACCAAAACATCAGCTCATGGAGAGCATGCCTCCTAGATCAGCGAGAAACTTACTGTGGTAAACGGCTCCCTTTCGTCAGTTGCCATAATAGAAGCATCTGAGAAATCTGCTCTTAGTAGGCACGGGGACAAGGAAGTGGGGACAAGTGGGGACAAGGAAGATGCAGCCAGCTCCCAAGTATCCAGGGACCGCTTCTCCAGTTTGTGAGCTGCCCAGCGTTACAGTTCTGGGTCTCCTTCTGCTACCATGTTGAGGCTGAATGTAGCCAATAAAAGACATACCGACCTATTTATTTTGCTCTTGGGAAAAAAGGAAAAAAATAAAGTCTCATCAGAAGTTTGGAGGAATTGGGGCCGAAACCTACAAGCAGATTTGGGGATCGTCTGTGGTTGGTGTTTCTTACCGTCGTAACCAGAAACATTCAACAATAGTTTGTATGCGTTCCTAGTCCTGCTTAGGAAAGCACGCAAGGCCTGGAATAGCAAGTGTGAGAACAGGGACAGAATAAGCTGAGACCCCTGGGCTAGAGGACCCTCGGGTTAGAAGCGAGGAGTTGAGATTAAGGAGCGTTTTTGCTGTTTGACAGGGGAGAGGCTGAACTGTCTGTATTGACGGGAGACCCACCCCAAACCTTAGAGAATGAGCTGAGAGCGGGCCTGGGCCAGGCCCCCCAGGGGCCAGATTTCAGGTCTTCACTGCCCTGGATTGTGAGCTCTGTGAAGGCATTAGGAAGAGGCTTCCTGTTCATGCCCTACGGCACCCAGGGAGGCCCTGTGCTGGGCCCAGAGAGGCTTCCCTGAGTTAATTTTAGGTGGAGTCACACCCCAGGCTCCCGTGAAGTGTACCTGTCCCCGACTCAGTCTCAGCTGAGCTGTAGTACTTAACACAGCACTGACATAAGAGAGCTACCTATTCCTATTTGTTGATTGACTGATTGAATTTGACTGATAATCTCCAGTTACACACACACACACACACACACACACACACACACACACACACACGCACAAATGCTCTCACTTCTTTCTGGTTAAGAAAGCCAACACCCAAAATAGGTCCTCTATCTCTACTCAGTTTTTAGAATGACAGAAAGTTCATCCTGAGGCGCAAAGAGAAAAAGAAAAGAAAAATCTAAGAAATGTTTTATGTCTTCAGCTTTTGAGTTGTCAGGCTTGTGTCTCTCCTTTGTCATTTCACAGCTCCTGAGGTCCTGGCCCAGAAACCGTACAGCAAAGCTGTGGACTGCTGGTCCATCGGGGTGATTGCCTATATCTTGTGAGTATTGCTCGCTACCTTGGCTTCTTTTTTCTTTCTTTCTTTTTTATTGTCGTGAAATACACTTAACACAGGATTTACCATCTTAACCCTTTTTAAATGCACAGGTCAGTGGCGTCCAGTTCATTCACCCTGTCGTGCAGTCACCACCACCCATCTCCAGAATGTTTTCATCTTCCCCAAACTGAAACTCTGTCCCCATTAAACTCTGACTCCTGTTGTCCCCTCCCTGTAGTCCCAGATACACTCCATTCTTCCTTCTATCTCTGTGAAGTCGGCCATTCTAGGTTCCTCACGTAAGTGGAGTCATATGGCATTTGTGCTTTCGTGACTGGCTTTCTCGCTTATAACGTCCTCAGCGTTCATCCATGTGGGAGCAGGTGCTGGAATTTCATTCTTTTTAAGGCTGACGAACAGTCCGTTATATGCATATGACACATTTTGTTTATCCATTCATCCCTCAGTGGACACCTGGCGATTTCTACCTTGTGGCCGTTATACATAATGTTGCTGTGAACATGGGTGTTCAGATGTCTGCCTTTGGGTGTCTACCGGGATGTGGGATGGCTGGATCATACGGTAATTCTACATTTTAACGTTTGGAGGAAGCTCCACGCTGTTTTCCATAGCAGCACCCCCACTTTACATTCCCAAAAGCAATGCACAAACGTTCCAGTCTCACCACATCCTTCCCGACTTTTCATAACAGCCGTCCTAATTGGTATGAAGTGCTTTTGTCGTGCGTGTGATTTGCGTTTCTCTTTCTTAAAATGTATTTCTAACGTTTTTGAGTGCAGTTGACACACAATGTTACATTCGATTCAGGCATACAACATAGTGATTTCATAATTCTATACGTTAGGTTGTGCTCACAGCAAGTGTAGCTTACCCTCTGTCACCATACGACGCTATTCCAATACTGTTGGCTCTTTTCCCTATGCTGTACCTTTTACTCCTGTGACATATTCATTCCATCACTGGAGGCCTGTACCTCCCACTCCTCTTCACCCATTTTACCCCTCCACCCTCCCTTCTGGCAAACCATCAATCTGTTCTCTGTATTTATAGGTCCAGTTCTGCTTTTTGTTTATTTATTCATTTGTTTTTTTAGATTCCACATATGAGTGAGATCATATAGTATTTGTCTTTCTAGGTCTGATTTATTTCACATTGCATAATACCCTCTAAGTCCATCCCTGTTGTTGCAAATGACAACATCCCATCCTTTTTATAGCTGAGTAATATTCCAGTGTGTGTGTATGTGTATGCATGCGTGTGTGCATGTGTGTATCACCTCTTCTTTATCAATGGACACTTGGATTGTTCTCATATCTTGGCTGTTATGAATAATGCCTCAGTGCATTTATCTTATGGCTAATGATGTTGAGCATCTCTTCATGTGCCACCTTGGCTTTCCTGGGGATACAGATGACTATGAAAATATTAGGACATCTTCAAAAGAAATTAAAATGAGAAAAATATGGTGAAAACCAAACTTTAGCCTTTAGGTACCTCATTTCTTCTCAGGTGCCTCATCTCCACAACCCAGGAAGGGCTGTCATAGGCATAGGGTTGTTGCAGTTGTTTTCACAGTGATCAGTTTTGGTTATTATTATTATTGTTTGTTTTGCTTCAGTCCACTGTAAAGTTGTTTTTTAATTACAATTTCTTTTGGCAGTGATACTTTCAAACACTTAAAATGGAGCACACTGCTAGTCTGGGTTTAGGCCAACTGGTGTCTGTAATTGATAGGAAATGAATTTCTTCCCAAGGAAGGGAAGGCTTTCTAGCAGACAGAGTCTGCTACACACAATGAAAGACCGTGGGGGATTGTGATCAGAGAAAGGTCTGACAGTATGTGGCATCCTCAGGGACTGCTGGAAACATCCTCCCTGTATTGGCATTGTCTCATTATCTGGAAAGCAAGCGGTCTTTCTACAGCATACATTCAACCGGGCAGCTTTTGTAATTTAAAGTGGATTTAGTTGACAGCTCCTGTAGATTCCTGCCATTATCACAGGATTTATCCATTCTGATATCCTTGGCCCGTAGGACTCCCACTTATGGAAATAGGTAAAGGGCAGATTCATCTGAGCTATAAAACTAACATTGCATTTACATAGTGGTTTTACTTTTAAAGCATCTTGACCATCTTCTATAGTAGTTTCATCCTTTTTAGTGTGTGTGTCGGGGGGAGTTACAGACCCTTTTGAGAATCTGGTGGAAGCTCTGGACCCTGTCCCCTAATAAATTCACACACACACACACACACACACACACACACACACACACACCACACTTTAGCATACCTCATTAGGGGGCTTCCTGTGTAGGTAGATATCAGACACAGGCCGTGTGTTATTTACTCTGGCCCCCTAAACTCTCAGCTGAAATTCACATCAGAGGTCATGCCTTGACAAACTTGACATGAAAGATGAGAAGAAATGAATGATGGGCCACTGTTCTTCCTGCAGAGGACCAAAGCTGGCATCATCTCGAGAAATCTGAGACTAGGCACAAGTGTCCCTTCATCTGGGCTTCTGCTTGTTTGTGCCTTCACACTTCTTCTGAATCTTGACCCAACAGTCTGGTCTACACTAATGTCTATAGATTCCCTTTGTATGTATAATGGTCTTGGCATTGGGGTAGGATATCTGCACAGCTAGAAGGAGGTACATACAGCTTTACTGGGATGGGCATTGGTGTCTTAGCTCTGGCTGCTATAACAAAACACTATGGACTGGGTGACTTAATAGGCAGACATTCATTTCTCACAGTTTAGAAGGCTGGGAAGTCCAAGATCTAGGTGCCTGCTGATTCAGTTCCTGGTGAGGACCTTCTTTCTGCCTAGGTTGCCACCTTCCTATTGTGTCCTCACAAGGCAGAAGGGGAATGTTCAAGCTCTCTCGTGTCTCCTGTCTCTTCTCATAAAGGCACTAATCCCATTATGGAGGCCCCATCCTCATTACCTCATCCCAACCTAATTACCTCTCAAAGGCCCAATTTTCAAACACCATCACAGTGGGGGTTAGGGCTTCAACATACGAATTTGAGGGGGATGCTATTCAGTCCATAGTAACTGATTTGGTTGTGTTGTGCTTGATAAAATTCTTATATCAGAATCTCCTCAAAACATGGACATTTCAGGATAGACATAGTACCTACTTTATAATATCAATGATGTATATATAATAAATACGTATATATCTATATTATATATACACATATATATTACATATACACATATATATTACATCAAACATCTGTTTAACAGTGCAAGGATATAAATATTCTCACAGGTTTTATCTCCCTTCACCTCCCTGCAATCCTACAAGATAGGTGTAGTTATTATTAAACCCACTGAGAGAAGATGAAACTTCAGTTCAAGGACATTAAGTAATATAACTTGGTGTCAGAATTGACATTTGAACCCAAGCCCAGCTCTGACTTCCAGTCCAGCTCTTTCTGCTACGCCACATGCCCTCCACATGCAGACGTGGCCATGTCAGTGAGAGAAGACAGGATGTTTCTTTCCCTGTGACATCCAGCTTGTGTTTGTTTCTTTCTTTCTGCAAATGTTTACTGAGTACGTACCATGCACCTGTCACTATGCTAGATCCTGGGAATGAGCGTTAAACAAAACATACACAGTCCCTGGGTTTGTGAAGCTGGCTCTCAGTCTCATGGAAGAGACACGCATTCAGAGAAACCTCATAAATGAACATTTAAACATGTGCAACATGTGCAACACATTTCAAAACGTGCAGAGTGCCTTAAAGGAAGAGCATGAGGTGCCCTAGTAAAGTGGAACAGAGGTTGCCTCGTTTCCACTGGGGTAAATGGCTGAGGAGGACTTCTTTGAAAAAGGGGCCTTAAAACAAAACCTAAATGATGTGTGAGTGTTCAGCAGATAGAGTGAGGAGAAAGTGTTCCAGGCAGAGTGAATAGCATGCACAGAGGAGGCTTTCAGCTGCAAGTAACAGAAAATTCTGGCTTAAGCATTTAAAACAAGAAAACAAGTCATACCTCACATAATAACAAGTGTGGATCTAGGGGAGCCACAAGACTGCCTAGGTCAGAATGTCACTCCCAGATGGTATCCATCTGGGATGGTACTGCTCTTCACCATCCTTACTACGTTAATCTTTCCTTGCGACCGCCCCCCCCCCACCCCCCACAACCACACAAGATGGCCACCGCAGCGTCGGGCATCTTGGACAGACACAGCATTGACTGGTGGAAGAAGAGGTGATGTTTATCCCCACGTTCCTGGAAGAGCTAGAATATCTTCCCCAGAAGCCCCTCAGGCAACTTTCCCTCATGTCTGATTGGCCAGAAATGCCTCCCATGCTCGTTTCTAAAGGAGTCCCAGGCAGAGAAGATGGGATTATCGCTGGTTGGCCAAATGAAGCAGGTGACCTCTGCTGGTGAAGAGGAAAGCAGGAAATGGATTTGCAGTAGGTAAAGAACACGTCTGCCATGGCCCAATAGGTAGGAGAACACCAGGAAGGACAGCAAGGGGGCACCCAGGTGGCTCAGTTGGTTAAATGTATGACTTGGGTTAGGTCATGATCTCATGGTTCATGGGATCGAGCCCTGCACCGGGCGCGGTGCTGACAGCCCAAAGCCTGGAGCCTGCTTCGGATTCTGTGTCTCCCTCTCTCTCTGCCTCTTCCCCGCTCGCCCTTTGTCTGTCTGTCTGTCTGTCTCTCTCTCAAAAATAAATAAATGTTAAAAAAAAATTTTTTTTAAGTCCAACATGGTTAGAGTATGATATCAAGACAGGATATCAGAAAGTTATATGCAAGAGCCTGGGGAAGGAGAGACGTGGCAGAAAGTTTAGGTTTAACAAATGTAGTGGGAAGCCAAAGAAGGATTTTGGCCAAAGATATGAACTGATCTGATTTTCACTCAAGTATTATTCCAGCTACTCTGTGAACGGGGGTTAGACAAAGCAGGAGTGGAGGGTGGTGACTGTTGGGAGGCTTTGTCAGGTGAGC